TCACCATAACTGAGGGACGTAATTTGTGCAAAATAAAATTAAAATAAATGATCATCCAAGAAATATTAGTTAATGATTATTTCACTCTGTTTAGATCATTGTTAAAAAAATGTAATTTTTTAAATATATAATATAGTTTAACATTAAGCATCTGGGTCTGGGACAATAAAAAGAAATATTGCAAAATATAAAAATAAGCTTAGAAGTAGCAAAAAATTAATTAAAGCAAAAAGAGTTTATTTTGAGTTTTCAAAGGACAAAAGCAGCTGTAGTTGACAAAACAGCCACAAGCAGGACACGTAATAAAGACATTCAACACAAAACTACTATTGTCTGTGCTCTGACATTACAACATCCAGCGAGAACAGCTGCTTTATTTCAATATTAATGACTGCCGTGAACATGATAAATGTCCTGTCTCTTCATTTCCCCCTCGATCTCACTAAACAGACACCTGATTGCTTTTGTAATTAAATTCACATCCACGAGAGGGAAGCAGCATTTGCGTGTCGATGTTATAGCGCAGCTTTGGAATCACATCGATGAACGGCCTCTTATCTGTTCCAGCATTCGAATTACACATGAATAGACCTTTAGTAATTCATCAACTCCTTAGCAAAACAGAAACAGAGAAGCATGTTTCCCATGAGGCTGAGCAATGACAAGACGTCATTGCTACAATAGAGAAATGGCATCCTGTAGTCAGGATGTAAAAGTAGGAAGTAGTTTATTCTTGCACTTTTTAGTCAAGAATTAGAGAGGTCTCATCTGGAAAGATGCTTCTTGAATAAAACTCACGTCTCTGAATGCTCTTCCTCCAGGATGGTCTGCACGGGCAGGTAGCCGAGCCGAGGGTGTTTGGTGAAGTACTTCTTTGAGCGGAACTTGTTTTTCAGCACCTTGGTGAAGTCACGCACATCTTCTCCTGAGGTGGTCTGTAACAGAGAGGCTGTAGGGAAATGTTCTGTTGTGCATGAAGGATTACAGTGGCAGAGACAGGAGTGTTTAGACATTTAGGCTTAGAAAATTCTGAAAGAAAAATCTAACAAAAATATTAATGCACCTACACACACACACACACACAAAATAAAGTAGATACAGTATATAAAATATCTAATATTATATATTAGGGCTGTCAATCGATTAAAATATTTAATTGCGATTAATCGCATGATTGTCATGAGTTAACTCATGATTAATCGCAACTTAATCCCACATTTTTATCTGTTCTAAATGTACCTTAAATTAATACTTTTCAAGTTTTTAATACTCTGATCAACATGGGGATGGACAAATATGGATGCTTTATGCTTCTTATTAGTGAAACCATAGTCAACATAGAGCATGAAGACTAGACATGTCTACTAGACACATGAAAAAGAACATAGAAATACCAGGTTCCCATTACTTCTCATTATTCGCACGGAGCAATTTACTTACACAAACCTGTTTAGATTTTCGCACAACAGGGCAGCTCACGTCTTCTGAACATGCAAAATGTACATTTATTATATGTGACCCTGGACCACAAAACCAGTCATAAGTAGCACAGGTATATTTGTAGCAATAGCCAAAAAAACATTGTATGGGTCAAAAATATCCATTTTTCTTTTATGCCAAAAATCTTTAGGATATTAAGTAAAAATCATGTTCCATGAAGATATTTTGTAAATTTCC